TAAAAAAATTACCTAAGTCTAAAAAAATTAAAATAAAATAAATTTTGTTTTTTGGTTATAGACATACTACTCATCAAGGAAATATAATACTGGGACTTCTTAAAGCAATGCTGGATCTCTTTTAATGGTGGAGCAACACAGAGTGGTACATATCTGAGTCCATATGAAGAGTTCTTTTTAATCTTTAGAAAAATCAAGATTAAAATTTATACCTTAGAAATCAAACTTCAAATAATTGTTTGGAATAAATTTAATGTATTTTTTAAACTTGAAAACTTACATTTTGACACTTGAAAAATTTGTCACATTTTATATTTAGAGAGAATATTTTCCACAACTTAGTTAAGATAACTAAAAACCTTTTTGTTATGATAGAATACACATAACATAAACAACCATTTGGTTTGCTTCTGAGTATACATTTGAGTGCATACATATTGTGTTGCAACCATCACCACCATTTCCAGCACTTTTTCTTCTTCCTGAACAGAAACTGTATCCAACAAGAGCTCCCCAGTGCCTTCTTTCCTCAACCTCTGAATTCCATGCTATTTTCTGTCTCTATCAATTGAACTACTCTTAAATTCACTTCTTATAATTAGATTCTTTAAAAGTTGTTTTTTTGTTGTGAATGACTTACTTCAATACTGTCAGGGATATTCAATATTGCACTATATGCCAGAATGTTCTTTCATAGCTAAGGCTGAATAATATCCCAGTGTATTTAAAAGTTACATTTTGCTTATACAATCAAGATTATAGATATTTGGTTGTTTCTAGCTTTGACTCTTGTAAATCATGGTGTCATGAGCACTGGTATACTAAGGACTGATTTCTTGCATGAAGTTCTTTTTTGTGTGTGTTTGTGTGTGTCTGTATGTGTGTGTGTATATTCTGGATTGTATGATTATACTTGCTAACAAATATTTGTATTTATCTGGTATGTCAAAATACAAATGAATAAGGCAAGTAAATGATTGAAAAATGACATAAGGTATCACATATTGTTAAATAGTGTAGGTTATGCAAGGCAATGAAAAATGAGACCCGTATCACAGGTCTGCTTTGTTGATCCAATGAGAAATATAAAATCCTTCTTATATATCGAAAGGCTTAAGGTTTAATTTTCTTTTATGTACTTGCAATCCATATGCAACAAAATAGGTATTACACAAAAAACTCCATGTGTTCCCTTAAACCAAAGAGCATCATTAATCATTTTGTGATTAGGCATTCTGTGCCACAATTTCTCATTTTGGAGCAAGTGCACTTATTTTAAGGGAACATACCTATCACTGATAACCACATATTTATTGTCTTCCACACATGAATCTCAGAAAGTTATTGATAAATTTTTCAGTAGTAATAAACACCAAAGGACTGACTACAGCATAGCTATGGGCCATAAGAATTTGGATGCAATAAAATATTGGATTATTCAACACAATTCTTGAGTAAAACATAATGTCCAAACTGGTCATCACCACAAAGAAACACATAAGCAGCAGAATGGTTCTAGTGGCCCTTTGTCCAGGTGATGCTTTCGGAGAAAGTTTGATTCTGCAAAGTTGCTGGGACTGCTTCTTATGTCTGCACAAGAGAATCACTATGTATCCACCTGAGAGGGACATGAGCCACATAAAGAAAACTTCCCAGAAGGTCAACAAGGTGGAAAATATTTGCCGGGAAATATAACTCATGGGCAAAAGAGAGCAGGATTCACTGACATACATAAGGTGATCTCTGGTCAAATTCACAGTAGCAGCAATGGAGACTATGAGGTGACTGCTAATGGAAATAGAGAATATCCAGAAGAAAAGAAGGGAACATAGGTTGTGACATGAGGATTTGTGTTAGAACTGTGCCAAACAAGAGCTTCTGTGGCTAAGTGTGCTGGCCTGAAGAACGCTCAGCTGGTAGGTGATACAAATGGAGAGGCCCCTCATTGACCTATACAAGTAGATAACTGCTTTTTATGTGATGTCATCCCAAAACCTCGCTTGAGAGGTAAAAATGTCTGCAGTTATGAATCCTTTGGTGAGCAGCATCACTAGGTGGTTTAGGGCCAAGAGGCCAATAGTTAGGTCAGTGAATCTGGGTCTGTGCCCTAGAAAGAAGATAATGTGGAAGAGAAGGAAAGCATTGCCTGAGACCCCAATGACAACTTGAGAATAAAAAGTGATTTTCATGTTATTATTACTTACCAATTAGTTGTTTTTATTCATCTTATATGGTAAGATGCATATAGCACATCTCAGGAGAAAAGAATTCTTTAGTACAAATAGAAACTCCATCAATATCAACAGTCATGGCTGCCATCAAAATAATGAGTAGATTCTTCCTGCTACATCCTAATTTCACTTAAAACCTAGTTCCTCATAGCAACCAAATGTCATTCCCACTCTGTGTCTCAACATTTTCAAATTATGCCTGGATTATACATGCCATGGCATGGTTCTTTGAAATAAAAACAATTGACAAACCCTTAGCCAACCTTATGAAAAAAGGAAAGAATAGGCCCAAATCCTTGCAACTAGGAATGAAAAGGGTGAAATTACAATGGACTCAGCTGAGGATCATCAATAACTACTTGGAGAACCTATATGCAAATAAGACAGAAAACACAAAAGAAATGGAGGGGAAGGGGAAAGGGAAAAAAGGAAAGGAAAAATTATGTGAAAAAAAAATGGAAACAAAGTCTATGTAAATAGAGAAGGGTGGTGGGGCTGAAGGGAGCACAGGTAATGGGGAAAAAAAGAACTAAGATGCATCATGCTCATCATGCATCACAAACAGTGATAAATGTAAATGTATTGTATACCTAAAATGTACCAATTAATATATAAACTTAAAAAATCAAATGTATTCCTGATTTAGCTATAAATCATTGTAGATATGTGCTATTTTTGATTCTTTTAATGTTTTTACAAAGATGTTTGTGATTTACAAGTTTTACTTGCTAACTTAAACATTCTTACTAATAATATAAAGCCTAATAAGTAACTTGGAAAAAAAAAGAGGAATGGATAGATTCCTAGATACATTTAAATAACCAAAGTTGAGCGAAGAAGACCTAAAAATTCTAAACAACCCATTATCAATCAATGAAATTAAAAACATAATTAAAAATTTAAAAACTAAGAAAAGTATTTGTCCTGATGGCGTCCCTGCTGAATTCTTCAAGACATTTAAAGAGAGATTACTGCCACTACTGTTTATACTCTTCAATGAAATCAAAAGGAAAACAATACTCCCATATTCATTCCTGGAAGCAAGCATCACCTTCATCTCCAAATCAGAGAAAGACCCAACTGAAAAAGAGAAGTATAGGCCAATTTCACTAAAGAACATAGATGCAAAATCTTCAATAAGATATGGGCAAGCAGAGTGGAAAAGATAATGAAGAAGATCATACGCCCTGAACAAGTTGAATTTATCTCAGGGATGCAAGGATGGCTCAACATACATAAATCAATAAGGTCATACACTATATTACAAGAGCCAAGGGCAAAAACTATATGATCATCTCAATAGAAAAGCATTCAACAAAACTCAACACACATTCATGATAAACCCCTACAAAAAAATGGAAAGAAATGGTCTTTATTTCAACATGATAAAGGCTATGTACGATAATTCAACTGCCAATATCATGCTAAATGGTCAAAAACTGAACACCTTCATGCTAAAATGAGAAATAAGTCAAGAATGTCCACTATCACCACTTCTGTTCAATACAGTTCTGGAAACAGCCCCAGCAATTAGACAAGAAAAAGAAATGAAAAGAATAAAATGGGAAAGGAAGATGTTAAATTGTCATTATTTGCTGATGAAATGATGCTCTACATAGAAGACCCAAAAACTCTACCAAAAGACTTCTAGACATAATTGACAGATTCATTAGAGTAGCTGGATACATGGTCAACACTCCAAAATCAATAGCCTTCTTGTACACAACAGACTCTCTAAGAAATTAGGAAAACAATTTCTTTCACTATAGCATCCAAAACAATGAAATATCTAGGAATGAATCTAATGAAGGACACAAAAGACTTCTACATTGAGAACGACAGCATTCTCAAGAAAGAAATCAAAGAGGATATAAGAAAATGGAATGACATCCCCAGTTCCTGGATAGGAAGAACCAATATATTTCCAAAACTGCTGTACAGATTCAATGCAATCCCAATTGAAATCCCAACAGTATATTTCACAGAACTAGTGAAAGCAATCCAAAAATTCATTTGGAACCCAAAGAAACCTACAACAGCAAAAGCAATTCTAGGCAACAGAGATATGGCAGGGGATATCACAATCCCCACCTTGAAATTATATTACAAAGGCACTGTGATGAAAACAGCATAATGGCAAAGAAACGGACCTGAGGATCAGTGAAACAGATTAGAAGATGCAGAAACAACTTGATACACACAGCTACCTGATCTTTGGCAAAGGAGCCAATCATCCTCACTGGAGGAAGGATAGCCTCTTTAATAAATGGTTTGGAAATACTGGATGTCAACTTTTCAAAGATTGAAACTAGACCCCTGTCACCATGCTCTAAACTGAAATTGAAGTGAAGATCTAAACATTAGAAATACTGAACTTTCTGGAAGATAAGTTACATAGAACTCTCGAAGACATTGGCATAGGAAAAGATTTTATGAACAAATCCTCAGTAGCACAAGAACTAGCACAAATAATTGACAACTGAGATCTCATCATATTAAAAATATTCCGCACTGCAAGAGAAAACACCAACAGAGCTATAAGATAACCTAGGATGTGAGAAAAAAGTGTTACCAGCTGTTCCTCAGACAAAAGTCTAGTATCTAGAATATATAAAGAATTTTTAAAAATCAGGCCCCCTAAATAGAAAGACCCAATTCAAAAATGAGCATCTTAAATGAACAGACATAAATAATGGAAATTTAGCATCCTCCTTTCCTATCTTTATTCCTTATATTTCTTTCTCTTGTCTAATTGCTGTGACTAATGTTTCCAGAACTATATTGAACAGGAGTGGTGATAGTGGACATCCTTGTCTTGTTTCTGATTTTAGCATGAAAGCATTCAGTTTTGGACCATTTAGTCTGATGTTGGCCTTTGGTTTTTCATAGACAGCCTTTATCAGACTGAGATAAAGCCCATCTATTCCAATTTTCTGTAGAATTTTTATTATGAATTGGTGTTGGATTTTGTTGAATGTTTTTTCTGCATCTATTGAGTTGATCATATGGTTTTTGTCCTTGAGTCTGTTAATATACTGTATCACATTTATTGATTTACATATTTTGAACCATCTTTGCATCCCTGGGGTGAATCCAACTTGATCAAGGTGTATGATGTGTTTTTTTGCCAAAATGTATGGTCATCTTGATGATTGTCTGTATTCTGTTTGCCAATATCTAATGGAAGATTTTGGCATCTGTGGTCCTTGGGGAGATTAGCCTGCAGATCTCTTTTTTGGTTGGGTTTTTTTCTGCTTTGGGAATCAAGGTGATGCTTGCGTTCATGAATGAATTTGGGAGTATTTCTTCCCTTTCAATATCATTAAAGAGTTTCAGAATTAGTGGCACTAGCTCTTCCCTAAATTTCTTTAGAATTCAACAGTGAAGCCATCAGGAACTGGGCTTTTATTTGTTAGCAAATTTTTAATTACATTTCCAATTTCACTGATTGAAATTGGGCTGTTTAGAATTTTTAAAAATTTTATTAGTACATATTAGTTATATATATATGTTTGGAAATTTGTACCTTTCTGTAATCTATCTTGGTTCTGTTTTTTTCTCCATTCCCCTGCCCTCCCTTCAATTCCTCCACCCTCCCTATTACAGAGATTTTGTTTCCATTTTTTTCTTTTTCTATTAATTCCGTTTTCTTCTTTCCCTTCCCCTTTCCTTCCCAATTCTCCTTCCCCTTTGCACCTTTTCTTTCTATTTCACATTATCTATTATACATTTCGTTCCTTCTTTACACTTTCAGTTTCTCACACCAGAGAAATCATTCAGTATTTACACGTGTCTCCTATTTAATTCACTTAAGAATATGGCCTCAATGTGAATTCATTTAGCTATAAATGACTTTAATTTCTCATTCTTTGTGGTTGAGTAGTACTCCATTTTAATTTAAAAACCCACATCTTCTTTATCCAGTCTCTAGTTGATGGGAAATTGGGCTGTTTCCAAGTTTTACCTATGCAAACTGTGCCACTATGAATATGGGTGCACATATATTGCTGTGGTATGACTCTTTTAATTCTTTTGGGAAGATACCTAGCAGGAGAATAGCTGGGTCAAATGAGATTGCTAATACTGGTTCTTTTAGATATCTCCATAGTGATTTCCACATTGGTTGCACCAGCCATCACTTTCACCAGCAGAAAATGCATTGCCTTTTCCCCAGAGCTCCTCCAGCATTTGTTATTGGTTGATTTCATGATAGCAGCCATTCTTTCTGGAGTGAAGTAGAATCTCAGTGATGTTTAGATTTGCATCTCTTGAATAACAAGTGATGTTGAACATTTTTACATATGCTCATTTGTTGCTTTTACTTCTTTGTATGAGAAATGTCTCATCACTTCACATGACCATTTTTGAATTGGATCTTAATTTTGGCAGGTCTGATTTTTAAAAATACTTTATATATTGTAGATAGTGAACCTCTGTCTGAAGAACAGCTGGAAAATTGTTTTCCATACTGTGGGTTGTCTCTTCATGCTATTGGTAATTTCTCATGCTGTCCAGAAGCTTTTTAATGAGAAAAGATCCCAGTTCTTGATTCTTTGTGCTAGTTCACATGCAAATGAAGTTTTGTTCATGAAATCTTTTCTTATGTCAATGTCTTCAAAAGTTCTAGCTAAACTCTCTTTAAGCAAGTTTGTGCTTCTGTTTTAATATTTAGATTTTAATCCATTTATATTTTAGTGTAGGGCATGATGAGACATATAGGTCTAGTTTTAATCTTTGGCAAGTTGAAGCCCAATTTTTCCAGTACCATTTGTTAAAGAGGCTATCTTTCCTCCAGTGAGGATGTTTGGCTCCTTTTTCAAAGATGAGGTGGCTGTTTCTGGAGTTGTTTCTACATCTTCAAATCTGTTCCACTGGTCCTCGAGTCTGTTCTTTTGCCAGTACCACGCTGTTTTATCACAGTAGCTTTGAAGTA